ACTTTTTAGGGAAACTGATTGAAAAGATTTGAGATAGCCTGACATAGATCGATCCTCAAATATGACCATGTCAATGGTTTATCACATACTAAATTTTGGATACATCAATATCGATCTACAACGGATACCATTAACCAGATTTGTGTAGAAGAAAATACGAATAAGAGGAGATATGGACTCTTCATGTTGGACATCTAAAATGCAATTAACTTGCAAAATTATTTTTTTACCCAAGGGCCTAGACTAATGTCATGAAAACATAAACATTTTATTCAAGTAATTTTATTGATTGAAAGTTCAAAATCAGACAGGACTCAACAATACCTGGACAATGATGGGTCATTCATAATATGACACTGTACAGTCAAGAGTTCTTCTCTTCTAGCCCTGACGGACTTCACTGATCTTACCCAGACTGGTGCTCCTCACAAAAGCACTGAGAGGGCAACGCTCAGAAGTAGACTCATTTTATGTTAAGATACCATTTCCCGAAGGCTTTTCTCCTTGGTGCCATGTGCTTGACGCCTCCCCATGCTAAATTCCCCAGAAGAAGAAAAAAGTCTCCTTGTCCTGATGATCACTGAGTGTTTTGGTAAACTAGAAAAGTAACATGGTGTTAATCTGTTGAATTTCAAGCGGTACTTTGAGCTTCTACAATAGACGCTTATAAGAGTTATCTCACACACCTTTGTTTACAGTACTTAAAAACTACTTCACCCACATACCTTGCCCTTGATATGGCTATTTTTATAGCTTGTCTAGCCAACCTGAGTTCGTCTATCAAGTTGTTTAGAACCTGGACTCGGTCGCCGTTCCCATTCAGTGTCGATTCCAATGCCAATACTGCATTAAACGACCTCTTAGCTGCTGTGCACGTGGACCAAAGTTGGGCTGTTTCAGGGTTCATCTAGTGCATTGGATGATTATACTGTAGCTGTGTCTTTCCAATCTCTTCTGGAAGGCAAAATCATGGAATTTGTTCATTTATGCCTCAAATATTTTAATTATCTTATCTACGTCTTCCGCCTTAGTAGTGAGAAGATCTAGTCAGCTAGCATGAGGCCTGATTTGATTTTCTCCATGTTGACTAATTCTGGAGAGTCACTTTCCTGCTGCTGCTGTCACAATAACGTAAGGTCGAGCTATGGGTATCACGATTCATAAAATATACGGTGATCCTAGTCGTTCTCCTCACTCAGTATACCTTACCCTCTTATAAGGCATGCAAGAGTTTCGGACAGTCCAAGTAAAGTAAACGATAAAACCGACTCCTCTGCAAAAACAAAACTTCTGCTCCATGTTCATTACCACCTAACTTAGTCTTTTCGCCAGTAATAAAATATCTTCATCCCCTCTGTTATTTTGCCAATCATCCTAAACAGCAGCATAGGTATTGAAGTCAACAGCAATAATTGTCCTCAAATCTTTCTCCACCCAATATAGCCTGGACTTATGGACGCCTGGAATTCTTCCTAGTAGGAATTGGCAGATTCATAGTGTTATACACTTATATTCTATTTACTTATGCGAACATGAGTTCAACGTCGGTAGTGATTCTGGCAATTGTGATTTCTTTGCCGAGTATTAAAATTGCCACCCTATTGGTACTTCCAGTAGTATACCATATTCTCTACCGTCAACAATTACGTGTGATTTTTTTTCAGCCACTGTCTGTTTTAGGGGATCCTAAACTGATTCTTCCTAATCCCAACAATAGTAGTTGAGATTTATTTCCAGGAAACTAGCAGCCATTTACTGCGGATGTTGTTTGACCCACGCTCTTTTGCGTCTGGTATATAGTTTCTCTCTTGTATTCAGAAGGCGTTTAAGTGTCTCTGACTAGATTCTCAGAGGAATGGCAACGAAAGTATGTTGACCATTCAATGCAAATTAACCTTGTTGAGTCCGGTTACTTGGCATGCCCTATTTGAAACAAGTTCCACATGCCAAATAAATTCAGTTTACTGCACACTGTTTTTGATGGAATGTCCGTATCTTTTACATGTTTCGTTATATATTGTTAAAAGTTCTTCTTCTTTTGAGTACCAGTGCCCGCGTTTATTGGATTTATTTCGACTGTTGATTTCCTTCAATGGAATACTTACTGGTTCTGTGTAATGAAGTTTCTAGAGTCAAGTTTTGGGCTCTCCTACAGTTATTTATGTTTATATGCAGGTTTCTTAAAATGGTTGTGCAATTTTAACAGCTGAAAAGTTGGATTTATCCTGGTTTGGTACACAGTCACTAAATACTTGTGAGTTTTTTTAGCAAGGTCCCACTAGTTCTATGATATTTTGACCACGTGTTGGATCAAATTGAATTCCATATAAATGTCGTGCTTGTGTGTGATTCAACTCGTTCATATCTCGGCATTCGCCCCACTTCTTATGTTAAAAATGATACTGATTAATTAAAAAATTAAAAAGATTAACCAGTATTGAACAAAACTGTTGTTAGAACTCTATATAATTAATTAATTAATTAAGATATCCACACAACTTGTATCCATGTCAGTCGGACGTGACTATGCATCTATTGGATGCTGTATCAGTTTGTACTTAGTAGGCATATATTTATTTATGAGTTATGACTTATGACCATGACGAATGTCGAGTAGGCACTCACTGTTGTCATAATTATCGTTTCTTCTATATAATAATAATTATAATAAAAATAGTAATAACGAAAAAAAAAAATTTTATCAATGACACGTCTTGACTATTTCAGATTATTTAAATGTATTATACCATGATTTATACAAATTTCAAAACATTATTTACCTGTACTAGTTACTTCAAATATAGGTACTACTTACCTATAAATTATTATTGTGACCAATAACCATATAGTTTTGTATTATGAAATAACATATTTTATTTAACTATTATAAATTATTTACTTTAAAGTATAAATGTTGATTTGATTTATGAAATAAAATATAGATACACTTTATAGGCAAATTATTATGCCAGCAAGAATTTTATAATTTTTACAAATACATTTACAATCATAGGCTTTTAAGATAGGTGGGTAAAGACCGAATGGTTTATTTAAAATAAATGTTCACTACTTTCTTATGGACAAAACATTGTATGGATAATGAATATGTATTATTATAAACATGTAGTGATTAAAAATGTAACTTATTAGTTATTATTATTAAATTGGAAGTGGATGTTATTACGCATTACCTACTGATTATTGGATAGGTTAGATTAGGTTATGTGTTTTTGAATGTATAAAGTACTTATTTAAATAAAAATAATTTTAAAAAGGGGAAAAAAACATACCCAATGAAATGTTGTTACTCGTCATTGTTAATTTTTAACATATTTTTTTACCAAAATTGTTGTTCCGTGGTGGACAATAATACTCGGGTATAGCTATTGTATAGTTGTATTGTGTATTTAATTTTAAAATGTTTTCAAAGCATCTTGTACATACAGGTATTTTTTTTTTTGTAACAAGTTATTTTTATTCTATTTAAAAATATAACTAAAAACATAAAAATATACCTACATATTATGTAACTTTAATAAGCGTAAAATTTTAATACATAACACTAATTTCGAATATCTATCAAAGATAGACACCAAAATATATATTTTTGCTTCAAAATACCCCCAAAACAACACTAATCTTAAAGCTGAAAATGTATATGTTCACGTTCGAGAGAAAAGTCTTATACTCTATAGTCACAACTCACAGCCCGCTGGTATATAAATTATAGACGCTCATGATTATAATGTACAGTGTACTCTTGATTATCCGCGCAATAGATCGACAGAACATCCACAGATAAACAAATTCCGCGGATAATCCGCAAAATTTAAAAAAATTGGAGATTGAAATTTTTTTTACTGCCGAACATAACAATAATTAATATGTACATACATATGTTTTAATATTGAACAAGCGTATTGTATTTTACGTCCTTATCGAGTAATAGGCTATCACAAATTATCACCCAATTATACCGATAATGATTTATGATGTAAATATATATGTATGTATATATTTTTTTTGTATAATATATGTAGGTATGTAGATGATTCCGCAAAAGACGGCGGATAATCGAGAGTACACTGTATAAAGTTGCACTTACCAACTTAGCACAATTTTTCTCTCAGTTTAAATCTAAAATGCAGTTACCTATGATAAATAGGCATAGGTATTATACATTTTCCACGGAGTTGCGATTGCCGGGCACATAATGTACAATAATATATTGTTAGGTATTATTATTACTATTGCAGAATATATATACACCAATATTATGTCTTGGGTAGTGAATATTGATGGAGTAATTCATTGTTTATTATTGTTTATATATATATGTATTTCAATAACATGAACAGTTAACACTGCCGGTTCATAAAATACCGTTTTAATTATTCACGTCGTGTACAATATTGCATTGATGTATATAGTAATAATATTATTATGAATGTAAGACGTTGAGCTGTCACCGGCTCAGCGAAGGGTGAAAATCCATGAACTCTCTCTCTCTCTCTCTCTCTCTCTCACTCTCTCCCTCTCTCTCTATCTATCTCTCACACTGGCTTTCTCTCGTCTCTTCCGCCACCACCGCTAACAATGGGCGGAGACTGGACCGCTCGTGAAATTTTCCTATTGGTCCGTTCGGTCGGGACGGACGCGCGCGCCCCTCAGAAACTCGTTGCTGCTGCCGTCACCTCGTCCGCGCGCGTTTAAACGGTCCCGCGTCGTCGTGCCGTCCGCTTCTGCGAGCGCACGCTTAATTTTTTTCATTAGTAATTTATTATTTTCACGCGCACGCCTCGGTACACAATCATTGCACGTACACTATTTTGGTACCCCCCCGAGACGATACTGTTGCCGGTGTGCGTTGTTCTTTTTGACGCTATATTGACCACCGCCACAGCCGTTCGCACGATATATAAGTACCAGTAATTCCACCTGTATAGGCGATAGGCGTAAATAATTAAAAACCGAAAAGTCAATCGATATACGACGAAATCATGTTGATGATGAACGATCTGGGGTCTATGGCCGCCGGTATGATGCCGTTTGACCCGATGTGCGGTGGCCTCTACGAGCAGCAGCCGCCCAAGCCTCGGTTCATATTCAAAATGCCAAGGGTCGTGCCCGATCAGAAGAACAAATTCGAAACCGACGAACTCTTCAGGCGCTTGAGTCGAGAGAGTGACGTGAGTAACTTATTTTGTCTCAACTTATACAATAGGTAGGTAACTACCTAACTTAACATCGATTCACATAGGTCATAGACTAATTCTTTATTAATAAATAACCGTCAGTGGATAATTATATTTATATACACGAGTTCCATAGTTCAAAATTTATACCTACCCTACAGCTTATGTTTCTGCACCTATATCATATTATATATATATAGTACCCATTACCTTCAGTGGCTATAGTGGTGGATTTTCCACATTTTTCTGGATAGGTCCTGAAAAATAAATAATAATGTGTACTTCAAAGATATTATTTTTATTTTCATTAAAAACTTGTATTGAATATAATATTTTTAAAAATATAAATAAATCAGTTTGGGGGGGGGGGGGTTGGGTCCTGTAAATCCTACAATAGTAGTATCAATAAGCTAAAACTGCTCTACCGGAATCCTTTGCATTTTTTTTAACGTAGATACTAGGTATGTATATATAAGTATTAAGTATGCTGAAAACGATGGTGAAGTCAGAATTTGACTGTCAAGGACTTAGTATGAAGTTTTAATGAATTGAAATTAATTGTATTTTCATATACACCCAACGTAGTCACCCGCTCGCTACCTCTAAGGGTGGGTCTTGGACTTCAAATAGCTATAACTTCAAAACTAAGTCTGACAACCAAATTCTGACTTCACCAACATTTTCATCATGCAAAGAAAAGGTGTCTCCTACCTATAATATACTATAAACAGTTTCATATGTATATAGGGTACCTTTGTCGTGGTGTTTTTTCGTATTGTAATGTTTAACTTAAAAGTTTAATTTAAGATGCAGTGAAATCCTGAAATTGTTTTACTGTTGAGGCATGCCTATTAACATACCTAATATGTCAGATATTTGGATATATATATATATATTATATATTAGTATTTACCTTGTACCTATGATTTTAATATTTAGTAGGTACAATTTATATATTTACCACTTCATGTGCCTTATTGTTATATTCAGATGCATAGCACTGAAACAGCTTACGTATTGTTAACTCTTAAATAAGTTTTATTAGTACCTACTATTAGTTATATTTATAATAATATGTATATTACAAATTATACAAAAAACTATGAGATTTATATAATTTTTTTTTTACTTGCATTTTTATGTTTTTTTTTTAATCTTATTTTAAACATTTATTGTTAACCACTTTTATTTATTAATTTTTATTTGGTATAGTTAATTAAAACGTTTTTAAATTTATTTACCGATAAATGCTAATATTTCAAGATCTACATAGGTACTAATATACTATACATAACACCTACTCACTTACTTAGTACTTACAAATTACATTAATATTAGGTTTCATTAAGTGTTAACCTGAAGGCTACACCACCTACACATATATGTATTTTTAGTTCCCTTTAAATAATCTTTCTACCTACATATTATGATAAATTTACAGTAAGTTTTAAATATAAGCTACTAAAATAAATGTTATCGATTTCAGGATTTGAAATTCGTGCTATAGATTGCTATTTTATTAACTGCAAATAACACAATTTAATGACTGCATTGCTCGATACATATAAAATCTTACAGTGGTATTAACGAAATACCACATCTTTATGATGAACGATTTATTAATACTTTCAATTTGTATTAACTAGTTATATAAAAATGATCACATGCAATACACAATGTAATGAATAATAAATAATAATATTATATATATAAAATTATAGTATATTGTGTAAACATTTAATTTAATTAAAAGTAAAGGTATAAGTAGGTAGATTACAAGTGGCCTAGGTATAATATTACTTTACTCGCATTTATAGAAAATATACATTGTATTTAGATTGAGTGTTGTTTGCGTATTTTTATTTTTATTTATATAGGTTAGTGTTTTTGTAGATGGCTACACAAGAAAGAAGTTTCTATAGCATTAAAATAAATAAAAGATTATTGCAGATAAATATTCATTTCTTTTAATTATTTCTTATTAGTTGGTTATTACTTATAAGTTATAAGTGTATTTATATTAATACTTATTTAAAAACAATTTAACACCTATATTATTCTTATATTATTTTATAAAATATACCAACTTTCTATTTTTTTTTTGTTTTTAATATAGCAATATTTACAATCTTTAGTCATATTTGTTTATACAATAAGTTAAACAATAACATAAATTCTACGACGAGGAGAGGCAACTAGTGTGGTAACCCTCTGCAGGGCTCAGTCTTTAATCTTTATATTCTTTAATATCCCGTTTAACGAATTGTAAAGAAGAACCCAGTATACTCTATGATTTTTAATATTAGACATTTAATCAAATTTAAAGGTAAGGATATTATCTATTGCCCGATGTAACTATATTATTTTGGACGCGTCGTAAAAAAATAAAGCGTAATATTATTATTCTAATTCATATATAGGTATTAGTAAACAATGAACATTGTTGCAAAAATAATATTTTTTTTATAATTCTTACACCTACAATAGGATAGTTAAACTGTGAAATTTGGTTCTATTATTAGTTAAATGTGTAATATACATAGTTTAGTGCAACTGGTAGGTATATGTGTTTAAAACGATTTTCGAGTACATCGAACAGCCCCCCGCTGATTCAGATTGGTGGGTGTAGAGACTGTTATTTATCACGTCATGGTATTTGAATAGCATTTTGAGTATTGGATTTTCAAATGAGAAAAAATCGTCCGGCATATAAATGACCAAGTTGTCGGGTATTGTGTCACTGGAATTCGGTGACACAGTATTTTTTTTATTATTATAACTTAGGGTTATATTACGATTATTATTATTACAGCAGGGTTGTCATAAATACACTCAACTTAACATTGTCATAGTATGGTATGGACCAAAGATATTATATGGCTATACTATATGAACAAAACTGCATATTCATCTAACGTCTTGAAAATAAGATTATAGGTTTATATATTTATTGTTTATTAACAATATATTAAGTATAATTTAACCGTATATCATTAATGAGATAGTCAATTTTTGTTAAGCCTAATTTTTTTGACATACTTCATAATTCTTCAAGAATATTGACATACTTAATTATCATTCATCAGTTTATCACCAATGAAGATTGACTTCGTTTTTCCTCCAATAAACTTTTCAACGACATTCACTTTATATTTTATAATTTATAAGGACTATATTTTAAATATGTAAAAATAGGATTTATTAATTTATATTATTCTTGTTACTTAATTTTAGTTGACGGATTTTATCGTTATTATATGATAAAATAACTATTAACAAATGTTAATGTTTATATCTTTATTAAATTATTTACACTGTACTCTCTGCGTGTATATCTGTTTACAGAGATTTTTGCATGTAACATATGGCTGTTGTATATAAGTTTGTTTATTATTTTTGTATCCCTCTGTTTTATAAATACTATGAAAACCAATAAATAAATAGTTCAAATAAGATAGATGCTAGACAGTAATAAGTAATGAAATATAAAAAATGTTTTAGACAAAACATCCGAAGGGGATTGAAAATTACAAGATACTTGCATTTATTATGTGTTGCATATTGAATACGATAATGAGTAATTCGGTTTACCTAATATCCTAATCCATTTGTGTATTTTAATAATATTATTCCTAAAAGAGCTAAAAAGGTGAAAGATTGTAGAACAGAAAATTAATGTCGTGAATCATGAAATTTTCCCGACCTTACTTAATGACTAGGTTTTACAAAAGTGACTATATTAATCATATGTATTTACACTTACGTATAAAACAAGTTTCATATTTCTCTCGGCTAATTACAATATACACTTTTGCGAGTATAACGAGAGGTAACGTGGTAAATATTTAATCAAAAAATACTATAACATATTTTTTTTATTTAAAAAATAGCTAAATTGACTTATTCCTTTTTTCCTAGCTGCGCAGTCCGAACCGTCCAATTATACAACGCAATCCTACGAACTATATAAATAAAACTAAGTATGGCGGTTATACCTTACGACTTAACTCATAGAGTGTTCCTTAAACTTGATAGTCTATATGAATAGATAGTAAACAATAAAAACAATAATATAAATAATATATATCATATGCAAGATAACATAGGTATTAGGTATACATACAAAACTTCTGAACTTACAAACCTATAGGTCACAGCGTTTTTATTTTTGAATAGCAGTAATGCAGACGAGATATAATATTAAGATAATTAGATAGATTTATAATTCTCATATTATATTGTGATGTGTATGACCGTGAATTTAATGCAATAGAAACCATAAATATGTGAAATTACGCAAAGTAAACGAATGAAACTAACTAATTAAAATAAAAAAATAAATTCACAATTATTTGTATGCTGTACAAAAAGTGTTGCACTAACAAATAATAAGTCTACGAAGTAAGAACCTTACTTGATAAACAATTCCATAGAAGAGACCGAGGTTAGTTGGCTCACTTTTTACACTAATTATATTTTGAATTCATTAAATTTCGTGACTTAAAAGTTCAAAGCTCTAACTACACCGAACAACTCACTAACATGTAAGCTACGTTTTAAGTTTAAACTATATTAATTATCATCGTTAGTATAAATATATATCATTTGTCCAACAAACAAAACTAAAAAACTAATAATCGAATTGACTTATTCCGCGGATGGAGCAATAGAACATAATATAATTGTTAAAATTAAAAAATATATATGTAGGCATAGTAGCCTATAGGAACCTGCTTTCATATTGAGCGTTTTATTATAATCAATAATAGTTGGCTCTGTAAAAATGTATTCCGTTTTTAATTTTGTTACAAAAATGTTTTAAAAAACTGTTAAAACCTCATAAATACAATTTACTGCTATACCCATATTATACTATACAAGTACAGAGTGTAACATATGCTTAGCTGACAAGCGACATTGACTTGAGATGCATTAATTTGTGTTCTTATCAAAATTTTATATTTTTTGAAATTATATAATTAACAATATTTATTGTATATTATCTAATTTAGAAAAAAAATGTATAAGAATGAAAGTTATTCCATACTGTTTAAGATACATATTTTTAGTCAGTTACTCAGTACTCTTTCGTTACACCCTGTTTAGTACATTATTTTAGTATTTATAGTGTTTTTTATTACCAACTTAGAAGGTTGAAGTTTTTATAATATTCGCTAGTACCTAATACCTATATAGTATGATGCAATTTTGAAATGTGATATTCAACATAATATATACATACCCCGAGTTCTTACATTTTGTCAAATATGACATTGTGTATTGAAAATCAGAGTCTAACTTATTTTATCTAATGATTTTAGGTTCGATACACTGGTTACAGAGACAGGCCGCACGAAGAACGCCAAAGTCGATTTCAAATCGGATGCCGTGAAGGTCATGTAGACATTGTAAGTTCTTTTTAATTCTAACATATTAATGACTCGAAATATAAACTCGCATTTATACATTTTTTTTTGATTGCACACAATAACTGTATTACCGAATATAGGCAAAAAAAACCAAAGCTCAATTTCTGTATGAAATAACAAGTATAATATTTTATTTATTCCTCTATGTTATAGGCATTCACCGCGACTGGAACCAATTTGCAATTAATGTTTACTCCGAACATGCCAATTCCTTCATACCATCAATCTGCCAATGGTACTTGTAATTTCGAAAAAGAACGAGGAATGGTGAGTAAAATGCACACAAAATCCTTTAGGATTACCATAGTTTGAATCTAATAAAACTTACTAAATATGTTCTCTTTGTTTTTCTATACATTTAATTATTTTTTTACATTATTTTATGCGGTGTTTTGGTTTTAAAAGAACATATTACAATGAATAGTACGATAAATAGTCGCTGAGAACTCAATATAATATTATTTTGCGGTCAAAACTATTACTACTACTAAACTAGTACTTTAAGCCATTGATTACGGTTTTATCTAAGTTGATTCAACATGTTAACTATTGCGGAAAAAATATGATAGATATGAGTAATTTATACTCCCACGTTACATAATTTAACGTGAGAATTATGTATACATAATATGGAATTTTGTTTGATTATGTTATCATGACAAAAGCGCATCAATGAAAAAATATATATTTTTTATTAAGTCATAATTTACACGATCGTATATAATTAATTAATTATTTTATTTATAACCGTGTTTTGCAAAAAAAATTATTGTTCCTGTATTAAGGAAAATTAACTTTTTAATTTAGTATTTATGCATTAGGAAATTCAAAAATTAATTAGTGTAAGTAGATACTTTATTTAAACATTGTCGCATTGAACTGGCAACGAAAATATTCCGTTTATTTAGTTAAATGGATAGACAAAATCACTCCAATCCCAAAACACGTAATGCAAAAGAATGAATCCACGGTAAACTTATTCTTCTTGTATATATCTTTCCAGTATTGACAAGAATATTTGTCTTCATTGCGTGGTTGTTTTATTTTTTTCCCTTGACAGGTCATTGTTGAAATTCTTATTTTATTTCAAGTACAAACAAACGATAGTTATTTTATTTTAACAATTGAGACAAATAATAGAATTATGGATGGTAGGCTGCATTATATTTATTTATAATAATACTATTCTACCAACATAAAATCTGTTTAATGTTACTAGCCAGCTATGGTAATAATTAAAAATATTACAATAAATATTGATATGAGTGTACAATGTACATTATAAAATATTTGATTTTCTTTATGCTATCTCATTATTCAGTATGTTTTATTTGAATCTATTCTGCACTTTGAAAGTTTCTAGGTTGGTATTTAGATCTGGATTTTGGGTCTTGTGTATTTTTAGGTATTTTATGTCATCTTTAAAGACTTGTCTCATGCAACTATCAATTATTTGTATGTGTATACCTAGCTACTAATGGAACATTATGGGTCGTTTTAATACCCTAAGGCCTTAGATGTAGTACGAAATATTTCCTACTGACTAATGCATTCAAGACGAACACACAATAGAGTATCTACCTACATTTATGTTACATATACATTATACTTATAGTTTATACTAATTAAATAAATTTAGTACTTACATTCTAAACGAGCGATCGGATGGACCAACTATATATGAAACATTGAAACGTATAGGTATACTCAATGCGCTTTATCATATTACCTACGTGTATAGGAAATCACAAATACCGAATAAAATAATTATAAGTACCTAGTCTTAAATACATTTAATTAAGTTCAGCCAGTAATCAGTATAGACTATAGAGTCCGTTCAAGTTATAATTACCTAAGCATATTAATCAATATTTTTACACTCATACAGTTATTCGTATAAAATATATTGTGCAGACCGTAGTTTGTGTGAATACCTACTTAAATCGCTTTTAATAACCATATTTCAAGTTTCAACCGATCAACCAGTTTTAAAAACTACTATATCATGTACTATAATAATATACGTGCGGGTAGGTGATGACGGCTGTAGCGCACGTTTCTTTTCACATATTTCACGTCGATTAATCAGTGCTCCACTCGTATAGTCCGTAGTTTTAAGTTGTCAAAACGTTCTGTCGGGAGACATACAACATGGCAATTTTACTTGTTTATATCACACGCACGCGCTCACGCACACACATACATGCACACAATATATGCTTATATATGTATACGCAGTGTTATCAATGTAATATATATTATTATTATTACATTTCATCAACAACTGCAGAATAGTATAACAATAACAATATGGACGCGTTGACAATCAATGGGGGGCAGTGTTTACGCGACGAAAATGCAGCAGGAAGAGGAGTGTCTGTATGGATTTTCGCGTAGATTACGATTATTTTTTACAATACACACGCGCACTTATATTGTAGGTTAGGTATATTATATTCAGAAAAGGGCAAGTAGGGGAGACAAAAAAGAAATCCTTTTAAAATAATAATATAATACTCGTAATATTCTGCAACTATATATATATATGTATGTACCTATAATGTACGGGAGGGACGCGTACTCCCTTTTTTCCTCTGGGATTTATATTATTATTGTCACACGCACACACAGACACAGGGCACATGTAACATCTCACTCGGCCGAATAGCTCGTATACGCACGCATATAATATGTACATGTATCATGTACATATAAAATATATATGTAGAGTCGTCGGCGACAAATACTTGTATATGGTATATAAGGGGAAACGGAAATCAATAGTGAAAGAGAAAAAAGGGCGCAAAGGGTGCCGCGTCGCCGCCATTTTGTTCCGGGCGCACACCAGATGCGACGGCCATTGTAACCGACTTGCAGCCAGTTTAAGTTTAAAAAATGTAGGAAGTCTTGTATATATTATATATCATGGGATATCATCCGAGTGTATGTGTCGACGAAAAAAAAAGACCGACAAAGACGTTACATTATATACTTTCTTTATCCTGCAGCCGAACAAAACGTTTAATCGGATGTTTTACTTTATTTTTTTCTTTTACGACTTTTTTCTTTTCGAACCCAATCGTATAGCTGTTAAAAGAAAAAAAACGAGAAAAAAGATATGCACACATTTTATCATACACGCATACTTCACACGGCGTTAAATAGCCGAAAATAATATGTAAACATACATTATACTATTGTTGTTTGGAAGTGCGTATTAGACTCACCGCGCAGCTGACATCAACATAAATCATAACAAGCAAAATATATGATGGGATAATATATTAGATATTTTATAAGTTTTACTATGCACTATGTGGTTATGAGATACATAAAACCATATATGACTGCGACATTATTGCAGATCATGAACAATATTTAAGCGTGATTATTTGACTACTATAGATTTCCGGGTATATGTTATGCTTATTAGTATCTAATATGATCGTATTAAATTGTAGAAATGGAAAATAACTTAATATATTTTTATGTAAAAAATATTATTAATCAAAAACTGCATAATATGAACTATGGTTAATATTGTGTTAATGAGGTACCTACTCAAATTTACACGTAAGATTTAATGACTGAAGGAAAGTATTTAGGTTTTTGTTTTAATATAGGTAAAACATTAGATTACTCATTCGATACATTTAGATATTCCTAAAGTGTCTAAAATGCCTTCCATATTATTTTAACATTCTTTGGTATCAACTATAAACAACATCAACTATTGTTGATTTCATACGAGTTTTATTTTTAAAGACTATTTTAGATGAATGTTTATTCATGTAATATGGGCACTGACCAGTGAGGGGCCTACGGGTTTTGAACGTAGCAATTTTTTCTAAAACGACTTTTTTTTGGTTGTTTGAGATCGAACACAATTTATTGATTTAACCCCTAAACTACCATCAAAAAAAAAAAAATTAGGTGCCATGTTACCACTCTGTTCAACAATAGGAAATGTTATGTTATAAACGTATTGCCGTCGCTTGAATTTGTATCAAACAATTTAACTTCAGTCGTATAAAAAGTGAATAAATACAATAATGTTTATTGAAGTTCCATTATAATTTTGTGTTTGAATTATTTGATTAAAATATCCTAACTGTATCTTAAAAATCCAGAATATTAAAATTATATTGATTAATAGATTATATTTATATACTTATATACGTAGAAGAAATTCTAGAAAAATTATTCATCTAGAATGATTCAAAATAATTCATTCGATTTCAGATGCTCGTATAGTTGTATTTTTTAGGTCTAGAACAATATGGTATACACTAGATAAAATAAAAATATGTCAAGTTCAATTAACTGTACCTATCAATGTTCTATGTGAACTCCTTTGGTTAGGTTAGGTTAGGTTAGGTTGACACTAGGTCGGCCTGTGCTTTTTCCTTTGCACAAACACAATGTTTCTTCAAACTGCTTGTAGTACTATCGACGTGTACTCCGAGTAGTTTGTGCATCGATCCCGTAATGACGGCGAAAATCGCGTTTCACATTGTTATTGTCGATTCACGCTTCGAAAAACGCTACACACAAAATGCTTTGTGGTGTCAGGTCAACAAATTTGGGGAAACTATAACGTATCACCGTAAGCGATTATTTTAAAATAATGAATTAATGACATTTTAAAACTTGAGAATATCCTCTATTAATTGGTATATAATTTGATAAGATAAAGTCTATTAGTAACCATTATATTATAGCCATTTTAAATGGGATGTATCATTTTGAATAACCTTGTATATTAATATATATTATATATAGGTAGAAGTCAATTTATTATTTCCGTGATATCTGGTATAATTGGTACATGATTTGGTTAGGCGTATTTATTATATGGCATGGCTCATTATTACATCGTTTAACCCACCTACACAATAAATATTAAAAAAAAAAAATAAAGCAATCTACGAGGGTGGTGTCAAAACGGTTAGTATTATTATACATAAATACAACGCGTACCCGTCACTACGTTAGCTGTCTGTCAAATCACCACGGGTGACTGGAACTGTTAGTTTTCACGCCGATCCGCCACCCTGAGAGCCTATTATATCATTAACAATAATCCATTGTTTAATATTCAGAATATTTTTTTATTCTCTTGTATGACTTTTGTCGGGGAAACAAAAAAAATAGTAGTTTCTTTTTTCTTTTTTCTGTTTGTTTCCTGAACAAATCCCGACATGCTGCGAACACACGCACGCTGGGTAAAAAATATAAAAAAATTACCCTGGTGCATTTACAATAGT